AAAAAAATTACATAACAAATCACATCATCCGTACTCTATAAAAGAACGGATAGGATTTGCCTCTGTTCTCATGGCGAATAGGATTTGCCTCCCTCTCCTTGTTTTTTTCTTTTTTTCCCCGCAAAACAAAAGAGGGGGCAAAAATTTTCCCCGCAAAACAAAAGAGGGGGGCAAATCCTATTCGATACGCTTTATGCGAAGGAATAGTTGTTCTCTAACTTGGTTCCTCGATTTTAGGAACAGTCCGGAAGGTTCCAGTCAATTTTGTCCGGTTTCGTTGTTTCCTTCACTTGGTTTTTTCTGGGTTTTTTCCGTATTTCCTTCTTTTCGTTTATTGTTTTTATTTTTTATTAACACAGAAAATTCAAAAATAGTCATGATTATATAAAAAATGTTCACAATTCCGAAAACAATGTTTGAGTTTTTCATGAAATGTTTGGAAATTTCAAAAAAAAATGTTCATGTTTTCAACACCAACTCACAAATTAAAATAAAATTTACGTGTTTTAAAAAATAAAAAACATGTTTCCAAAAATGTTTGCACATCTGTGTTTTAAACAAATGTTCAAATTGGAAATTTTTAAAATACTGATCCACCTTTTTCGAAAAAAATCAGTTTTTTCTAAAATTGTCTTCAAACAATGTTTGTAAATTTGAAAAAATACTTGTGTTTTTAAAGAAGTTTAGATTTTCAAAAAGTACTCCACTTTATAAAAAATGTTTGAGTTTTCAAAAGATATTCTAAATTTTGGAAAACTGTTCGCCTGTTTTAGAAATGTTCAAAACATTTACAAAAAACAAATCACACGTTTTAACTATATTTTTCATGTTTTAAAAAATGAAATAGAAAAGTTAAAAATCTGGGACCTACACCTCTTGCGTCAGCTCGCCACAGCACCCGGAGGGCTTACAGTGCAACGTAATAGGCTGGCCCAGTTGGGGTTCCCTTATGCAAAAGGGTTGCAATTTGATGCAGTAAACTTCGTATAAGAGCTCTTATCAATAAGAACGCATATATCTTTTTTTAACACAGTACAGACGCAAACGCTTATACACAAGGGCGAAATTGGGGCTGGGGCAACTGGGGCTGTAGCCCCAGGCGTGGCCCAACTAGCACCTGTACGTCTAGAAGCAAAATTTTGAGAAATTGAGATAGATAGAAGATTAGCCCCAGGCTTCACGTACATGGGTTCAGCCCATTAGCCCAACTCAAGTCGATCCATAGATAGAAAATCAATCACGCAGTACGTCGAAGCTTCGATATAGTTCGTTGGCCAAGGAAAAAAACCTCTGCCGATTGAGAAACCCTCGCCTAGCCGCCGCCGCCCTGGTCAGTCGTCAACCACGTTTCCCCGCCGGCCGCTGCGCTGCCCGCCCGGTCCGGCGTCCTGACCACGTGCCTCTCCTTCTTCTAATCTTCTCGAAATGTTCCTAAATTACAGTGCACGCACACGCTGCCGTACAGCGGCACAGGTAATACGCCATTCCAGCAATTAATTTTTTTTTCTAAATCTGTATCATCTAATTAATTCAGTATCTTCAACAATACTCAACTCTGTATCATCTAATTATTTTTCCTATTTCCTTTTATATCATGCAAACTCGATGAATTGGTGGTGTTAAATCATATTACTTAGTCCGTTTTATTTGAATGTCGTCAGGAGATTATAAGTCCAAGATGAAGAGGACCCGTACAATTGAATCTTTTTTCCAATCAGTTGAGCGTGATGTATTTGCAAGCATTGATGATATTAATATTATACAGTGCTATAAAAAAATGAGGAAACGCAGGGGCTACTACCTCGTGGACTTTGTGTAAATGGTATAATATGTTCTTTTCTTTTTGCAAAATTTCATATGAACAATTGATTTAGTCTATGTCCAATGTCTTGATTTTAAATACTTGATTTTATGTTTGCAGATCCAGATCCTTCTACTATTGCTGGTGAAGAAACGATGGCCTTGAATTAAGAAAGTCTTCGGTAATTTGGTACCAAACCATGTTTGCAATGATGCACTTTGTTAAACTATTTGTTTTTACGGAATTTCTTCTTGTGATAGTAATGAATTTATATTTCGTTTTGAATGTGATTTTGTGCCATACTTATAACACATGTTGGTCTGCGTGGGTATTTGACGATATATTTAGTCAGTTAGTTTTAGCCTCAGGCTTTGAGAAATCTTGGCTCTGCCTCTGCTTATACATACGTGTATACACTCACTCTATGAGCGCACACACGCACACCCTACTCCTATGAGCACCTTCGAGAGACTAAGCCGGCATATCATCTTGAGATTTACGAACTCACCATAGGTGCCTCGTCGTCGACGGGAACGTCTCCTCCCACTGAAAGCACATCGCCAGAAATTCTGAATAAATCCAGGAATAATGTGAGCACCAGGACTTGAACCTTGGTGGGCTGGGGATACCGCTGTCCCTCTAACCATCCAACGACATGTTGGTTTGCATATAACTCTCTTTTTGCAAGGTATACGGTTTCCCGAAATCACTAATTAAGGAGTACTTCTTCCAAAGGTCACTTCCATCATCATGTGCGCCAGTTGTCGTAACCTAAGTGTTTTCTCTTCTTTTCATAGGTTCGTCTATTCAAAACATTTTATCTTTTAAACCATGCTTCCAAATTCTGATCTACTTACACCGTTAGATTTCTTGCAAAGAGATCTTTGAAACAAGATCCCGTTTTAATATTTTTTGATGAATTTTTTTGTGAAAAAACCAGGAAAACCTGGACGAAGAAACCCAAGCTGGAAGCACGAGGTTTTTTCCCACTTTTTCACTTTTCAAGAGGCATAGTTGTGCCTCTCACGGAAGAAAATTTGTCCCTCCACGAGAAGCAAATCTATGCCTCTCTCGGAAGACAAAAATAAGTTTTTTTCCTTTCCGAGAAGCACAGTTGTACCTCTCGCAAAAGTAAACATGTGTCCCCACGAGGAGCAATTCTGTGACTCTCACGGAAGCAAAAGATTTTTTTTTCCTTTTCTGAGTGCCTCTCCTGAGAGCAAATCTATGCCTCCACGAGAAGCAAATTTGTGCCTCTCACAGAAGCAAAAGAATGAAAACATGTTTTCCCCCCTTTTCGAGAGGCAAATTGTGCTTCTCGTGGAGCAAACTTGTGCCTTCACGAGAAGCAAATCCGTGCTTCTCGCAGAAGCAAAAAAAAATTGAAAAATAATTTTTGTTTTTTTCTTTCAAAACCTTGAAAAATATATACCAATATAAAAAGACCTAAAAGGGCAGATCCAACTGATCTCGGCCATCGAACTAAGTCAATCTAACGACCTAGACTGCTCCAATGGCGAGCGTTAAACGTGTTTAACGTACAATTAATATCATACCAAATATTGCACTAATCACATGATTAACACACAAATAATAGCATGTGTAATATCCACGTGCAATTAATATATTGCCTAAATATTAACGTGTGTTGCACGTGCGCATTTACTAGTTAGGGCAAAAACCAAAATACCCCCCAAAAGTGTAAAACCCAAAAAACACGTACACAAAAAAATACTGAGGGAGCATCCAACACGCGACACGTGGCTGCGGCTGAGAGCATGTGGCAGCGGCTGACAGCACGCCGTGTGACGCGCCCTTAATTAGCCCACCAAAGGCTCCCGCAAGGGGTATTGGTTAGTTAGTTCGTCCCTAAGTTTGGTCGCGTCGAGCACCCCCTAAATGGGCTAGCACATCGCAGGAGGAGCGATGTGTCTTCTAGAGGCCGTCTTTTTTTTCATTTTGTATTACTTTTACTTATATTTATGATGTGGGAAAACATTAAATAATTCATGAAAAAATTTCATCGTTGAAAATATGCTACTCCCTCCATCCACATATATAGGACTTAACGCGTTTTCGAGATTGTCTTTAACTATTGATAAGATTAATACTACATGAGATATATGATGTAAAAAAATTATATCATTGGAAGCTCGTTTCACGTACGAATTTGACGGTATGCTTTGTGTAACTTGCATGTCATATATTATTGATCTAAGATGGGGTCAAAGTTAGTCTCGAAAAATGCATTAGGCCCATTATAGATGGATAGAGGGAGTAACATGTTCGAAAAGTTCATGCCATTTATAAAAAATTCCTGTCATTACAAAAGAAAATGTATGTGACATTTAAAGAAAATCTTTAGGGGAAACTTTTAAATTCAATCTAGATTTTGGGTTTCTATGTTACGGCTTGTGGTTGGGTGGACAAATAGTTCAATTTTATAGTTAGATGTCAGATTTATTCCAATGAAGTAAACACTTGATGGTAACTTTTTTATGAATTTCAAAAAGTTTGACAGCAAGTTCTACTGTTGACCTTTGGGTGGAGGGTGTTTGGGCTTCCAAATTGAATTGAAATTAAAAAATTCTCCTAATTCAGGAAATGCATGTGATGTTCTAACAAATTAAACAGAAAAATTTGTCACAATGGCATGTTTTGTGGGCTAGGCTCAAATCGTAGCCAATGGAAGAACATGTTGAAATGTTTGATGGCTGTCAAAGGAGATTTCAAATTTGAAGTGTTTCATTTTTTAATTCAAAAAATAGCAGACATAAAAAAGTGAAACTTTAGTGTCAGTATATGTCATCCTCTAAGAACAAAGTTTACAAGGTCAACGCTCTATTACAGTACGAATAGAAAATATCAAATTTATGTGTCTAATAGGAGATCTGCTTCTCACATGAGGACTTTGTACCTGCCCAAACCCTCCCATTAGAAACACATCCATACATCGTAAGTATGGAAATTTCATTTTTGGGGACAAACCCAAGCAATTATCCATGATCAACTAAAATATTAGAGTGTGTCCCTCAAAATTTGTATTCATGTTATTTTTTTCATATGCTCATTGCCTTGATGGGATTGATGAACTACTCACCACATTAAAAACTTGAATGTATGTGAAGTCCCAATAATTATGTAAATGTCCAACTCGAGAAGTATATTGAAAATTTATTGTAGTTTGTAGAGTACATTCTCAGGCTAAATTACCTGGTCCACCATAGTACATATGCATACCATGATTATCAACTACATAGCCATCAATACTATATTTTGTTTTATCACTAGTTCCAAGAAGGTCTTTGTGTCTATTTGGAGTGACAAGCTTGTTGTGGATGTCAACAATCTGGATGTTTCTCATAAAAGCTGCTTTTCCATACCCTTCAGCGACAAAATGCCCACTACCCATTTGTGGGGAGTCTGATGAAGCTGTTGGGCCCTGAACAAAACCACCCCAGTATGAGAAAATTCATTTATATTTAATGTGAGAGAAGAGTGAACTTGGCCAATATCCAATCGGTGTCTTTTCTTCACCATACACCAGCCACCAATTCGCCGTTTTGGGGTCCTAAGGAAAATCAAAATGCATGGAAGATTGCTGAACACATACAAGGACATAAAATCCTCAATGCTATTATGCTAAATATCTAGTGTGCTTGCAGTTGTTTCTGTTCCTCTGAAGATATATAGGATGCATTCTTCTCATAACATTTTCCCATACCAAGTGATGTACATCAAGACAATGCGTATGTGAATCTCCTTGAATATCAAATGGTCTCCATCATTGGAAGTGCTTATTGAATGTGTTATTTTAATGGTAAGGTGACTGGTAATTTTATTTTAGGCCATGTTCTTGATAATTTGTCAAATGATAGTATGTGCGTATTGGAACACTACAAATAAAAGAAATGTTGGCATTCCAAAATTACACAATTGATATCATATTGAGCTACATACATTTGTTGTGTGATCAACTAATTCATGTAAGTACAAATTTCCACATGCACCCCCTGTAAATTAAATGTAGAAAACCATAAATTGCATTGAGAAAGAGAGTACCTTGAAAATGTAAATGTCTATCACATATTGTGGTCCATTGTAGACTGAAACCGGAAGTACTCTTCCTCCAAGACCAACACGGTGACTAACTTGCACAAAACCAGGACATACGTGATCGTAGCAGGGCTTGTGTAGTTTGCCATCGCGCTATTATCCAAGTTCATCCAAAGATAGAAAGAAAGTATATCAATTTATATTAATTTGTACTTGATAATATAATGTGTATGATAGTAAATATTATTAATTACCCAAACAACAAGAAACCACGCAAAGCTATCACCAGTGATGCTTGGAGCTACCGAATAACAAGCACCTACACCTTCTTCGTGACCCTTTGGTCCATTATCAATTAGTATCGTTGATTGACTAATATCCTTGCTATCTTTCTTCACCTTTGGCTCATACACATTTATTGTAGCTCATACCCCACACAAATCATCTGAATATCTAATTCCTGCCATCTACAAAAAAAATGTTCGTCAATGTGATAACTATATTAACCACATCAGTATAAGTCCAATACCATATAACAACAATGACAATAACTTAATGGTCTCAACTTGGAGTTAGAGAGACGAATGCATATCGAACGCTTCAAGAAAGTCTTGGACTAACATGGTGAAAATATGGAATTACTACACATACAATTGAAAGAACATTGACACGAATTAGAGAAACTCAAGTCGATTCATCATATATGTGGTCCCCAAAATGGTTTAGAACGCCATCCATCGTTTTTCGAAGGTTGCGAAAGCTATGTGCAAACACATAGTCACCACAAATGTGTCTCCATAATTGTTTTTATTCTTTATTGTTTTTTCGGCAAATTCAACATGAACTTAATTGCTAATTTGCAAAATAGATTTCATTCATATATAACATGGTGGAAAATGAGTCACATCATGACTTTGTACATGTAGGATATTAGTAACTAATTAAGGGGCACTTTTCCTATTAGGGCACACTGATGTGCCATTGGCATGGGAGCAGAAGAGAGAGGAAGAAGTAGCTGAAATCCCCCTCGCAACGGCTGGGTTTGGAGTGACGCATATGGTGACTTTCCTAGATTGTTATTTTGTACGTTGTTCCACATAATAATTGTTATTATTGTGATCGGCCACATATGGCGAGTATTCTAGACATGCTCTTACTATTTATTTGAAAAAGCTATCTGATGAATTCTATATTTACTCCTCGAATTTCTACTTTTTAGGACCTTTATGTTTGTGTATGTGCATGCACAACGACGGGGCCACGATTAAAGCAAACTCTGGGACAGGTTCTTTGGCAACATGCATAGTTTGGCCCTTATAACTTCCTACAAATACCATAAAAATTCCACTTGCACACGGCTTATAAAAATAAAATTACCTAATGCGGAAATTGCCACCATAGCATTAACTTTAGTAGGTCGGTGATACGTCTCCAACGTATCTATAATTTTTTATTGTTCCATGCTATTATATATTCTGTTTTGGATGTTTAATGGGCTTATTTATACGCTTTTATATTATTTTTGGGACTAACCTATTAACCGGAGGCCCAGCACAAATTGCCGTTTTTTTCCTATTTCAGTGTTTCACAGAAAAAGAATATCAAACAGAGTCCAAATGGAATGAAACCTTCGAGAGTGCGATTTTTGGAACAAATGTGATCCAGAGGACTTGGAGTGGACGTCAAGCAACCAATGAGGAGGCCACGAGGTAGGGGGCGCGCCTACCCACCTGGGCGCGCCCTCCACCCTCGTGGGCCCCTCGTGGCTCCGCCGACCTACTTCTTCCTCCTATATATACCTACGTACCCTAAAAACATCGAGGAGCACCACGAAACCCTATTTCCACTGCCGCAACCTTCTGTACCCAAGAGATCCCATCTTGGGGCCTTTTCTGGAGCTTCGCCGGAGGGGGCATTGATCACGGAGGGCCTCTACATCAACTCCATGGCCCGTCCGATGATGTGTGAGTAGTTTACTTCAGACCTTCAGGTCCATAGTTATTAGCTAGATGGCTTCTTCTCTCTCTTTGGATCTCAATACAAAGTTCTCCTCGATTCTCTTGGAGATCTATTCGATGTAATCTTCTTTTCCGATGTGTTTGTTGAGATCCGATGAATTGTGGGTTTATGATCAAGATTATCTATGAACAATATTTGAATTTTCTCTGAATTATTTTATGTATGATTGGTTATCTTTGCAAGTCTCTTCGAATTATCAGTTTGGTTTGGCCTACTTGATTGATATTTCTTGCAATGGGAGAAGTGCTTAGCTTTGGGTTCAATCTTGCAGTGCTCGATCCCAGTGACAGTAGGGGAGACGACACATATTGTATTGTTCCCATCGAGGATAAAAAGATGGGGTTTATATCATATTGCATGAGTTTATCCCTCTACATCATGTCATCTTGCTTAAAGTGTTACTCCGTTCTTATGAACTTAATACTCTAGATGCATGCTGGATAGCGGTCGATGTGTGGAGTAATAGTAGTAGATGCAGGCAGGAGTCGGTCTACTTGTCACGGACGTGATGCCTATATACATGATCATACCTAGATATTCTCATAACTATGCTCAATTCTATGAATTGCTCGACAGTAATTTGTTCACCCACCGTAATACTTATGCTATCTTGAGAGAAGCCACTAGTGAAACCTATGGCCCCCGGGTCTATTTTCCATCATACAAGTTTCCAATCTATTTTATTTTGCAATCTTTACATATTTATCTTATTATTATTATCGCTATCAGTTCTCACTCTTGCAAGTGGCCGTGAAGGGATTGACAACCCATATTATCGCGTTGGTTGCGAGGTTCTTATTTGTTTGTGTAGGTACGAGGTGACTCGCGCGTGGTCTCCTACTGGATTGATACCTTGGTTCTCAAAAACTGAGGGAAATACTTACGCTGCTTTGCTGCATCACCCTTTCCTCTTTAAGGGAAAACCAAACGCATGCTCAAGAGGTAGCAGTCGGCTAGTACAGGATGTGACACTGGAGCAGCTTTGCAGTGAAGGGGAATGACTGGTTGGCTCGCCGCAAGGGTAGTGGGTAGCTGAGAAAGCATTGGGGGTGGTGGGCCACATGGTCACCGAGTTGGGAGCTAGTTTGGGACACAATTGTCGATTGGAAGGGATTTAGGTAGCTAGCTTTGATTCTTCGTATGCCTGGGCTATGATAGGCTATTGGGCTGAACCATGGGCCCAATAAACAATGCATACATGTAATAGTAAAAATATCCAACTCCTCGGGCCTGGACCTGGGTGCATGGGGTGTGGATCCATCATTGTGTATGTATTAATACAAACACGTGCTCATGTGTGTGTGTGTGTATTCTAAATTTCTGTGCTATGAAATTGACTATTCCACACTCTGAAACAAATAATTCACCTTACAACCTTCATTTTGTGATTAAACATTATCATTCAAATTAAAAAGACTTTGTATTGGAATTATCTTTGAGAATTTTATTTGGTTATTTTCCACAATTGTATTCAACTATATTGTACATTTTCTAGGCAAACAACAATTTCTTGTTAGTAGTACCATTACTATGATAACTAGATCATTATGACAAGCAAAAAACAAAAATGAAAACTCACCTCTAGTTGTTCATCCTTGTTAATCACTTGCTCGATAATATATGATGTTATATGTCCCATTCTATTATTACATAGAATTGGAACCATCCCTTTCGGGCATTCGACAATAGACAGATGTGCTTGTAAAACACCATTTGGGGAGGGAGATTTTATACTTTCTTAAACCGGTACCGAACTTGGTTCCATCTGTTTCATAATAAAACTTTATTACTGGCACACAATCACATATACAAAAAATTGTGTAGCTTAATCCATTTCTAATGGAGCACGCATATCATAAGTTTTATTTATTTCACTCTGACGTCCATTGTTTGAAGAAATATACTTAAATAATAGATAAAAATTATGATTTGAATCTAAAGGGAGTAAAACAAACTATGCTATGAAATTCATGTATATGTGGCAACATTCATTGTGTCTTCAGTCATGAATCGACGTCCATTTTAGCCACATAATGTTTGTAACTCATGTCTTGATGAATGTAATTTACCTGAATTTTGTGATATTTCAATATTGGGTGATCCAAAGTCGGTTGGACACTCACATCGATGCAATCATATATATCTCCACCTTCCATCTAGTTTTATGTCCATCTCCTTGTTAGCCACTGAAAACCGATGCTATATATATAATATGGTGTGGAATAGTTCTTACCATGATGGTTTTATTAACTTTTCGATGGGCAAGGATCTCTTTGTTGGTCTCCCTTTGCATTGTAGCTATATTTATTCCTCTAGTTATTAGAACAAGATATGAGA